AACACACACCTGCACACACCAACACACACCTGTACACACCTGTACACACCTGCACACACCTGCACACACCTGCACACACCTGTACACACCAGTACACACCAACACACACCAGCACACACCAACACACACCTGTACACACCAAAACACACCTGTACACACCAGTACACACCAACACACACCTGTACACACTAACACACACCAGTACACACCAACACACACCAATACACACCTGTACACACCTGTACACACCTGCACACACCAACACACCCCTATACACACCAACACACACCTGTACACACCAACACACACCAGTACACACCAACACACACCAACACACACCTGTACACACCAGTACACACGTGTACACACCAGCACACACCAGCACACACCAACACACACCTGCACACACCAGCACACACCAGCACACACCAGCACACACACATACAAACTAGCACAGACCTGCACACATCAGCACACACCTGTAGAGCCAATAACTAAGGCTGGCTGTTGCTCGGGGGTGGAACAGCCAGTTCACAGGTTAATGATGGTTAAGGTAGACTTAAGTATCAGGTTATTTTTGCATTATAAAACAATTCATTTAATTTCAGGACTAACCGAGCAGTCCGTTGTGTGCTGGAGCGTGGAGACGACATGCTGATCACAGGAGGGCGCCACCCGCTGTTGGGAAAGTACAAGGTCAGATTGCACATTTTGTGTAGTTGTATTGTTTCAAAAACATTTCTGAGTGAAATATTGTTAAATTCCAGGTGGGCTTCATGAATGATGGCAGGATTGTGGCTGCTGATCTGGAGTACTACGCCAATGCTGGGTTCTCTGCGGATGAATCTCCTCTGGTGGGTCAAAAGTTTAAGACTTTTCCTCAGATCTCACTAATTCTGAAACATTTTCTAACCTTACTTACTTACTACTACTTTAAAGTAATACATACATGCTCTGTATTTTCTGTAGATAGCAGAGAAAATTGCCCTTCACTTGGATAATGCCTATAACATCCCTCACCTCCGGGGCTTTGCGGTAGCCTGCCGCACAAACCTCCCGTCCAACACTTCCTTCAGGGGCTTCGGCGTGCCCCAGTGCATGCTGGTGGTGGAGAACATGATCACAGATGTGGCCATGAAACTGGGCATGCCAGTGGACAAGGTACACAATTCTTAAATGGACCTCACAGTGGTCACCTAACTTTAACAAATGGAAGTTATATAAAAGAAATGAACTAAAACAGGTGCGTGAGCTGAACATGTACAGAGGGCCCTCCGTCACACATTACAAAATGGAGTTTGATGCTAAAAACCTGCTTCTCTGCTGGGACGAGTGTAAGAGGAGGTGTGAGTACAATGCCCGCTGTCGTGCCGTTGAGCAATTCAACAAACAGAACCAATGGAAGAAAAGGGGTGTGGCTATTGTTCCCATAAAATATGGCATCGCATTTGCAGAGAGCTTCCTGAACCAGGTTAGTGAGTGAGGCAGAAGTGTCCATATTGTGGTTACAGACAGACTAACATGTGGTTTGTGCTGAAGGCTGCGGCTTTGGTCCACATCTACAAAGACGGCTCAGTGCTGGTGGCTCACGCTGGAGCTGAGATGGGACAGGGGGTACACACCAAAATGCAACAGGTAATACACCCCCGAGTAACAGCCAGCCTTAGTTTTCTGTTTTTATAGGAATCTATATGTACTTTTAAAGATTATTTTAAAGATTAAGTATATGAACATGGCACTTAGAGCCTCTTGACTCAAATGCTCCACCCTTGTTTACTGTGTTTTCTGCAGGTGGCCAGTCGGGAGCTGCACATTCCCATTTCTAAGATCTACATCAGTGAGACCAGCACTGGCACTGTCCCCAACACCTGTCCCTCCGCTGCGTCCTTTGGGACCGATGCCAACGGCATGGCTGTGAAGGTGCACGGTGTTTCTCCCTCTGAGTTCAGTCTGAAAAAAAACACATTGACTCTAGTGTTTGATCATATGTTGTAGGATGCCTGCCAGATCTTGTATCAGAGACTCAAGCCAATCATTGACAAGAACCCTGAAGGATCATGGGAAAGTTGGGTAGGAAGAAACACTCAATTCCTCAAACAGTAACTGCTTTTGACAACTTATATACAGTATATATATATATATATATATATATAATATAAGTATTATTATTTTTTTTTACAGGTGAACACGGCATTCTTTGATAAAATCAGCCTGTCTGCCACTGGATTTTACAGGTAGCTCAGAACTCACTTTGAATGTTTTAATAGTCTATAGACTTAAAACTGAGTGTGTGTGCAGAGGGCCGGACACGTACATGAACTGGGAGGAGGTGGAGGGGAGACCTTACTCCTATTTCACGTATGGAGTGTGCTTCAGTGAGGTGGAGCTGGACTGTCTGACTGGGGACTACAGAGTGAGTGAAACCTCTTCTCTCAGTAAACCTCTCTGACCCGTGTGGATTCTTGTAAACAGTGTGTTGTGTGCAGACTCTGAGGACAGATATTGTGATGGACGTCGGCAGAAGCATCAACCCCTCTGTGGACATTGGACAGGTCAGACACAGACCACTGTACAGTACATGTCTGTGGACAACTCACTCACCTAGGACACTTTAGGAGGGATGAGTATGATGCCTCACTCTTGTATTATGCTCTCAAAGCACCAGTGACAAGCAGGTGACTTAGCCACCACCAGCAAAGTTACATAAAACGGTTTACAACGTATAGAAACCCAACAAAAACAGTGAATAGGAGAAGCTAAATGTAGTTCATGTAGTTGTTTTGTTGTGTTTGCAGATTGAGGGAGCGTTCATACAGGGGCTGGGCCTGTACACTATGGAGGAGCTGAAGTATGGTCCCTCTGGGGTCCTGTACACTCGAGGGCCATCTCAGTACAAGATCCCCGCTGTGTGTGACATGCCTCTGTCCTTTAACATCTACCTGCTGCCTGACACTGACAACCCCCACGCCATCTACTCGTCCAAGGTGAGTCAGGACTTATTTGGAGAGATGTTGAATCCACATGTGTTTATGTCTGTGCTCACCTCCTGTAGGGCATCGGAGAGCCTTCTGTGTTCCTGGGCAGTGCCGTGTTCTTTGCCATTAAAGATGCAGTGTCTGCTGCCCGCGCAGATTCAGGCCTGTCGGGTGTCTTCTCTCTGGACAGTCCGTCCACACCGGAGCGCGCCTGCCTGGCCACTGCCTCCAGATTCACTCAGAAGGTTAGTAAACCTGCTCTACCTGTGCCTGCTAACTTATGTTTAATTCTATATTATACTTTTCACTGTTTGGCTCTTGGACTTAGACTTGTCTAAGAACTAATACAGTGTTCTGTTCGTGTGTGCAGGTTCCAGCCAGTAAACCAGGATCCTTCAAACCATGGGCTTTGGACATCTGACACCAGTAACATCGGTGACTTGTGTGTGACAATCATTTTAAACTCATTATGACATTTATTTTTGAACAGTCAGATCAATAATTACCTGAATGAATGTATTCTTTTGAACAACCACAGCAGCATCTAATGCATAAACAGTGTCATGTTCAGACAGTCCAGACTGTGCTCGGTCTCGGGGTCAAACACCAGAGAGAAGAGGCACTTTCTCAAAGAGAAAACCTAAACATGTGAAACGCTGATCATGTACAACAATATCACAAATCTGTGCTAGTTCATTTAAGATTTCTATGACAATATCTGCTTTTATGACATTTCAATTCAAACTTTTGCACTAATCTTACTAAATGTGTATTGATATAAAACATAATATATACACATGTAATACCTGAATGTATTATAGATACGGGCATTTGTTTAAACTCGTGAATAATGACTGTAGTACAATAAATCTACATTTGAATCATTTATAAAGTATATTTTGTCTAATCCATTCATTTATGGTCATTTATGGTCTTGTGTGTGTGTGTACTAGGGCTGTGAAATCAGATACTAATTGATACTAACTAATATTGAAACTAGATACTCATTTGGATATCGATACTAAAAAAAAGTCACAGATCCCTGAATAGGTTTAGGATGTTGTTGAGCTGTTTCATAACAAGTATAAGACTAGTACACGCTCATGGAGCACTGTGGAGCGTCCCTGGACCACTGAGGTATTACACACACAGAAACCATGGAGTCATATTAAATAAAGTTCCTATTTAATGTTGAAAATCAAATTCTGTTGTCTAAAGAAAGAGTTTTTATTACTGTGGTATCAGAATCAATGTTGAATATTGAGTCTATTTCTTCATAATATGAAGTTCATATCAAAATTGAGTTTGAAATGTTAGTGTGGTGACAACACTAGTGCACACCGTGTGTGTGGACAGGTCCTCATGGGGCAAACACACTGATACATACGCATACACATAAACATACATACACATCACCCTCTAATTGGTCTGAACTATTGAGTAATCATTATCACACCAGTTTTTCATGACATTTGGAAAACTACATTTGAAAGTCTATCAGAATGCTGAGTGTACCGCACACTCCTCTTCATCATCGGCAACAAGGTAATGCAACTAAAGAAACACTAATATCTGTGTATACATTTTTTATTATGACACTATTCCAAAATTCCTTTTTTTTTTTTGTTGACAAGGGTCACACCAGGTTTCCCCAAAGTGTGTAGAACACCCTAAAGGCCCCATGTGCTGTTTCCTGGTTTATGTTTTAATGTTGTTTCATCATCAAAAACAGCTTCACACATGTTTAACACACAAACCCTGCAGATTTGGGCTGAGTTCTTCTCCCAAACAGAAAACACAATTACTGTTAAGTTTTATTGCCATTGTCAGTGAACAAATTTCACAAACTAGGACCTTGCATTATGGAGTAAATAGTGAATATGAAGTATGATCAAATAAAGCAGTGCATACAATATGTTTCTTTTCTATGTACTTCAATCAGCAGATAATGAAAGTAATATTGTAAAGATTCAAAGCAGTAGTGTTTTCTAGTGTTCATACATTCCACACTGCACATCCCGGAGCTCAGACGTCGATACTCCAGGGAGAGGAGGCCTTCTCTGTCGAGGATGAAGCCTAAAAATGGTTTTAAAAGAAAAAATGCATGTTTGCATTTTGTACAAAATGCACAAAATCACAAATGTAATCTTTGGTGTCACTTGATAAGTTTAAGAACATTGTAAAAAGTTTGGCGACTGAGGCATGTGTGCGTTTTTCTTGAGAGATACAAATGGTTTCTAACATGATATTTTGTAATTTCACTGTTTGTATTGATAGTGTTGACAGCTGCCTTGGCCAGGTCTCTCTAGAAAAAGATTCTGAATCTCTATGGGACCTGTTTATGATAAAATAAAGTCAAATAAATGTAGGCCAGATTTTTGTAATATATTCATCCTTTGCTTTGAAAGTTATAAATGTAAAAAAATTTTCACTTTTCGGTAATATATAAATACACTGGTTTAAGCATTTTTATAGGATTAATGCCTATTAGATGAATAATGTCATAATTATAATGATAAGTAAATAATATACTACCTGATATTATCAACTTTGAATGACAACTCAGTATTTTTTTAAATCCAAGTCCTTTACAGTTTGTGCTTGTGCGTGCATGTGAGTTTGTGTGTGTGCGTGGGTGTGCGCGTGTGCGCATGTGAGTGTGTGTGTGTGCGTGGGTGTGCGCGTGTGCGCATGTGAGTGTGTGTGTGCGTGTGTGCGCACGTGTGTGTGTGCGCTTGTGTGCGTGTGTGTGTGTAGGGGTGTGTGTGTGCGTGTGTGTGAGTGTGTGTGAGTGTGTGCATGTGTACCATGTGTGTGAACTGGTCCTCACAGACCATCCTGATCCTGGCGGCTGTAGCTGGAGAGCTCAGGGGGAACGCAGCACTCAGGCCTCTGTCTGAACGCGCCGCAGCAATGGCCGACTTTATTGCAAAAAACACAGTAGAGCCAAAAAACAACGGGGGCTCGCCAACACCCTGAGAACAGAGGATCGGTCAGTTTAATCCAGTTTTTGTCCTTCTTTGGGTTAAGTCCTTGTTTTGACAGTACTACAGTACTGTGGTCCTGTTTCCGAGCTGGTTTAGATCTGGTGGTACTCAGATGGAATATTGGTGTGACTCGGTGTAAAAGTTTACCTTGGACATGTAGATGGCGTGGTGGTTCTGGGCTTCGGCCAGCAGGTGCACGTTCAGCTCTGCCGGGACGTCACACAGAGCGGGGATCTTGTACTGAGACGGGCCCCTGGTCAGGAGGGTCCCATCTGGAGAGAAGTGCAGCTCCTCTATGGTGTAGAGCCCCAGGCCCTGGACAAAGGCTCCCTCCACCTGAAGAACACATACATAAAGACAATGTACAATGAAAAACATTTAGAAATAGAACTGACATTGTTGTAGACTGTTGTGGAAAAATTCTGTATCTCTTGATAAATAATAATCAGTTTGTGAAACCTGGTGGGTTGATGAAATACAGAGAAAGGTTTTTTCTAAGAGAAGTCTTGAAGTGAATCATGTGTTAATCAACATTTATAGCTGTAGAGTTTCCAGTTGTGTCTGTTGAGCTACACATTCACACATGTTAATGACAAACCACATTTTTTTACACAAAGACAGACTATGACAGAAATCTTTAACACAATATAAATTTCCATCACACTTTCCTGACAAAGAATAATACCTGTCCAATGTCTAGAGCAGGGTTGATGCTTTTGCCCACGTCCATCACGAGGTCTGTCCGGATGTTCTGCAACAAACAACACAAACATTTTTAGCCAAAATGATGAATCTAATAAGTTTATGTATTTTTGAAGTACTTTATGATCTCCAGTGAGGCAGTCTATCTCCACTTCAGAGCAGCAGGCCCCAAAAGTGAAGTAGTAGTAGGCATTCCCCTCTCCCTTCTCCCAGTCCACATGAGTCGGAGGGCCCCTGTCACACACACACATGAGCTCTTAACACTGAGGAACCTCTTTAACTTCCTGGTTCTGCAGTGTTTAGGACTCACATGAAGAAACCAGTGGCGGACAGATTGATCTTCTCAAAGTACGCCTCACTCACCTGCACAAGAGCAACTGAAGCTTAGAACTTGACTGGAAAATATCTTCAGTTTTATGTTTCATCTGTATATTTTGTTCCTACCCATTGTTTCCATGAGTTTTTGGGACTCTTTTCCATGATGGGCTTGAGGCGTCTCATCAGCTTCTCACAGGCATCCTGGAACAAAAACTCCCATCATAAACTGTCCAACTACACAATGTGAGTCCAAAACATGTTTCAGTTGTAACTTTTAGCCTCGAACACACTCTTTGCGGCTGTTATATTGTTCCTCGGCACAGAAACATCTAGGACAGCATCATGCAGTTAAGGACAAAATAAGTTCTGGACCTTGACAGCCATGCCCACTGTGTCTGTGCCGAAGGAGGCGGCTGACGGAGTTGCATTGGGGACATTTCCTGTGCACGTCTCCTTTATGAAGATTCTGGACATGGGCACTTTGAGCACACGGCTGGCCACCTGATCACACACAAGCGGAGGAGAGAGAGGAGAGAGGGTAATTCTGATGAGGGCTCAGGAGCATGACACTGCTGCAGCTTCAGGTACCTGCAGAGCCTTGGTGTGGATGCCCTGTCCCATCTCCGTGCCTCCATGAGACACCAGCACAGAGCCGTCCTTGTAGATGTTCACCAGGGCTGCACCCTACACGGAAACAGATTTATATACAGTTTTATAGTCATCATGCTTCATTACAGTGCTACATAAACCAGGAAGGCAAACGGGTGGATCATTTCTTCCATCTTCTGGTCTGGGTAAGTACATGGTCCTAGTACCTGGTTGTAGAATCCTTTGGAAAAGCCTATTCCAAACTTCTGGGGCAGCACGGCGATGCCCCTCTTCTTCCAGCGGTTGTGGGAGTTGAAGCGTTGGATGTCCTGGAGGCGGCGCTCGTAGCCAGCCCTCTGCAGACACTGGTCCCAGCAGCGCAGCATGTTGGTGGGGCAGAAGGGCTGCATGTGGTGGGTGTAGCACAGGTCACCCTGGTACATGTTCACCTCACGCACCTGCACAGCAGAATTGTACATGAAGAAAGATATGTCCTGTTTACACACGCCACGTCACAAATCACACAGACTAAAGATGTTAAACACACTTGTACTTTTATAGCAGCTTCTGTTTAGTACCTGCACAGTGTAATGCTGTTCTGACTAAAGTGGGTGTATTGGGGTCTGACCTTCTCTGGGGGCAGTCCACAGCGCACAGCCACCTCGTGCAGCACACTCTCGATGACCATGAGCCCCTGTGGACCCCCAAACCCTCTGAAGGCCGTGTACGAGGGCAGGTGGGTCCGACACACCAGGCCCCGTCCCCTCAGGTGAGGGATCCTGTAGGCGTTATCCATGTGCAGCAGGGCCTTGTCCATGATCTCGGCACATTCAACACAAACACAGAAATGAGGTCTATGTTCAAGCTTCTGTTGAGCAGCTTGTAAACTCTTTATCTGTTGACTCACAAAAGCAGACTCTTCCAGAGTGCAGCCTCCGTTACTGTAGTAAGTGATATCTGCAGCCACAATGCTCCCATCACTGTTGTAGCCCACCTGAAGCACACAGAGACCCAGAGTCTTGAACTTGTAACGAGGGATCATGGTCACATTTTAAAAAGCTACACATATCTCAACTTAACTCAACTTTATTTATACAGTCAACCAAAGTGCTGCACACAAACAGATAACAGTGACAAATACACTGACAGGTAAATATAATACAATACAAATACAGATAAAACGCCAGCCCTCAAACCGTGTTAAAAGACAAAGGGAAAAAGTGAGTTTTTAGGAGCGTGTAAAAACAGCCAGTGAGTGGGTTTGCCTGATGTGCAGAGGGAACTGATTCCACAGCCTCAGAGCAGCAAATGCACCAGCTCCTCTATGTTTTCTCCTGGTCTTTGGGACGTGGAGGAGAGCCTGATCTGCGAACCTCAGAGCACGAGAGGGAACGTTACAGACGAGAGGAGGAGCGAGGTACGAGAGGAGTGTGAGGTACGAGGGGAGTGTGAGGTACGAGGGGAGTGTGAGGTACGAGGGGAGTGTGAGGTACGAGAGGTAAAATCAGTGCGCAGGTGCACAGGGAGCCAGTGGAGAGACTGGGGGATATGTGGTCACATTTATATGATCCAGTTAAAAGGCGAGCGGCTGTTCTGCACTGGCTGTAGAGAGTCAGGTTTTACTGAGTCCAGTGTAAAGTGAGTTACAATAATCTAAATATGAAGTGTTTTATAATGTAGAGCACCTTGTACTGTCCCAGGAAAGGGTGTCTCCCACTGGTGATGAGCATGTCGTCTCCTCTGTCCAGACAGCAGCGCACAGCTTTACCCGTCCTGACACAAACAACAAAGTTATCTCTGAATAAGACTCACTCAGCTAAAACAGAATGTGCGGCTCTGAAGCTGCTATTAACACCAGACCAGCTGGAACTGAGTCATGTATTATCACTGTCTGGGACTGTTTCCTCGTGTATGTGCAGTGATATAGCGGGGATTTTTGATTTTTTTAAATAACAAAGCCCCACTCACTTTCAGTACAAACATAAAGGCGTCAGCCCAGTAAAAATCTGTAGTATCTGATGTTTTTTTTTTTTTTTTACTCTAAATGATGCGGAATCATGTTATTAACATTAACATTCATAATCACCTACAGAATATAAATCAGACTACAACACATAAACCTGGACTAAACCAGAACTAAACCAAAATTAAACCAGGACTAAACCAAAACTAAACCAGGTCTAAATCAGGACTAATCTTGGACTTGAGAGTGAGAGAGAGAACCCTGAGCCCGTGGAGCAGGGTGTCTGCAAAGCGTCATCGGGCGACGGTTGTGCTTTGCTCCGTGGTCTACATGGGCGCACCTCCGGGCCTGTCCACACACTCAGCCCTGGTTCAGTCCTGGTTCAGTCCTGGTTCAGTCCTGGTTCAGTCCTGGTTCAGTTCTGGTTCAATCTTTGTTTAGTCCTGGTTCAGTCCTGGTTCAGGTCTCTATAGCACAGTAGTGCAGATATCATGAGCATGTGCAGGTTGTGTTCACCATTGCCAAGATCTCCGGTTTGACATTTAAGTTGTAGCTGTTTTATATTTGTTATTTTTTTCTATGTCATGTTGGGAGAAATAGGTGAATGGTGTACCCCGTGTATCTGCCCACTACCCCCCGTGTACGTTTATGTAAAGAGCGGTCTCACTTGTGCGCAGCCACAGCGGTGATGGCCGACAGTGGTGCAATCTTCATAATCTTCCCTCCGAAGCCTCCCCCCAGCCTCTTCACGTGGCAGGTGATCTTGTTGGAGCTGACGCCAAGAGCCTGGCTCACCAGCTCCTGCGGCACACACACAGTCACTGTATATGCACACACACAGTCCAGAGGAGCAGAGCTGTGAGGACATCAGGTTTAACAGGAGGCTTTACCTGAGTGAGGGCGGCGTGCTGAGTGCCCACGTACAGGTCCATCTCATCACTCTCTCCCCGCGGCACTGCAACCAGCCCCTGGGTCTCCATGTAGAAGTGCTCCTGACCGCCCATGTAGATCTCACCTGCACCACAACACAGTCACTGTTAATACGCAGATTTGTGTTGTTATATATCAAGAGTATATACTAGGCTGGTCCATCAGAGCATGGTAAAAATAAAGTTTCAGATCACCTCAATTAGAACCTGCATTAGGGTTTAGCACAAAAAGAAGATTTAGGAAGAAATGTGGAAGAAAAAGGAGATGTTTAAGAGGAGCTCAAGCTGCTCAAGTTTCCTGGAAATGGACCCATTTTGTGTTTTCAGCAGTTTTGGACACGTTATTTTGAAAAAGTAATTAGTTATAGTTACTAGTTACTACACCCCCCCCAAAAAGTTACTCCACTATGAAAGTAACTAGTTACCAGGGAAAGTAACTATTGCATTAGTTTTATTTTTAAGGGCGCACTCACACTAGGAACCGTGCAGGGCACAAGTACGATTGCCTCGGGTTTTATGGTCACACTCACACCTGCACAACCAAAAATTCAGTAGTGAAGAAAACACCTGAACAGCTTTGGGTGACGTCTTTGGTACTTGAATGAAGAAATGTTTGTCCTGCATTCTTCACTCCAGTGTGACAGAAGAACAGAAGAAGCTGATGCTTCACAATATTATGGAAAAGGAAGGTTCAGAGGTTCCACCAAAGCTCTGAATCAAGCAGATTATGAAGAGAAGCAGATCAGTGAGTTTGTCTCCACCAGCACCATGTGTTTCTTCTTCTTCTCTTGATCTGCCAAAAACATTTAGAACAGTTCTCCTGCAGCAGACTGGGCTGATGATGAGACTTTCAGAAGCTGCTCAAACTGTGCATCCAGGAAAATGTCCATGATGTTGCTGAAAGGAGGTGAAGCTTATTCAAGATTTGAACTGTAGCTGAACAAAGACTGAAGATCAGAAACAGGATCTACTGCAGGAGTCACACACACAGGAGCATCTTTAGTGACAAAGCAACAACACACGGTGGAGCTGGACTTTAGAAACAACTTTTATGGACTTTTAAGTCATTTTTATGCAAGTTTCAGTTTGTGTTTGCAGAATAAAATGACAAATTATTCAAATTCCGCCTTATTTATTTGGTTCTATGTTATAGTTTAGGCTATAGGGCAATTTTCAAGTGTCTTGAGCAAATATTAAATATTAACTCATTTGCATAAAATTTGGACCCAAATATTTTGGCCAGATATGGAACCAAATGCTTAATAATTCTAATCTACAGAATCTAAAAAAATGTTTTTGGATCACCCTTGACTATATACTGAATAAAAAGTGATAAATATATGTGCCTTTTGACATGACAAAAGAGAAAAGTGTAGCCTGCACATGATGGTTTTCTGCCTTACTCTCTAGAATGTGCTCTGCTGTGCCCATTGCTGTGTCCACATCTCCTCTCTCGATCTTCCTCTTGGGCTCGAAGTAGGAGTCATGTTTTATAGCGTCCTTGGAAAACACACAGAAAACACTCATCCTTCTGTACAAGCACGTTTAGATTCATTTTCATTTGGTTTACCTGTATGGTGAGGATGACTGGCTGTAGGTCCTCATAAGTCACCTGGATCCTGGCTGCTGCTCTCCGGGCCTGCTCCCTGGACTCTGCCACCAACGCTCCGATGATCTGACCCACACAATACACCTGCAGTGCATACAAACACACACACACACAGACACACAAACACATACAACACACACACTCGTTGGGTTTCCATTCTTCTTGGAAACATTACATTGACTTGATCATTACTTTAAACACTAAAATCTTAAAGCTACTTGCCTACCTCTTTCTCGGCGAAGATCTCCTCCACAGTGTTGAACCACGGTCTCTGGTTGGAGCCCGGGACGTCTGCAGCTGAGATGAAGGTGACCGCTCCAGGCATCTGCAGGGCCTGGGTTGGATCAATGTTTCTGTGGACAGGGAGATATATTAATGAGTAAACACAGTCCTTACTAAATAACTAAAATGTTTATCTTTCTTATTCAAAGTGCATATGACAGGTTTTACTTTATTTTCAGTTATTACTTTGTTTTATGGGATAATATCTGTGGCAAATACTCATAACAACAAGTGGCTTTTTTTTTGAAGAAAACATGAAATATAAAAGTTGTATATTAATCTGTTTCATCAAAACACAACATCCAAATGACAGGAAATAAATAATTTTTTTGTTAAACATGCATATAAGCATTCATTGTGTGGAAGGTTTGAGATAGAGGAGTTTTGATGTCAGGAATAGTTGCAACATATTTTCTGGAAACAATTTAAAAAGTGTGTGAAGTTCCTTGATGTGTTTTTGAAAGTTGGGTTAGCTGTGTGGGGTTTTAAAGTTAGACCGTTTCCACCAGGTCCTTCTGTCCGACTACTACACTACAAAATCCAAAACTCAATCCTCATCTGAATAAGGAATTTCTCTAAAGCCATGTGAAAGGTGCATTGTGTAACTTTCCTGGTTGAAGGGCTTGCTTAACTCCTTTTCTGAAATGTTCAACAGTATGGCATTTAATTTAACAATTTCCATGGAGACAAGCAGCTCACATCACCCCAACTTGCAGGTCAGATCGTTGGAGAAGTGGACCTGCTCTCTGTAATTTTGCATGTTTTTGCAGTACACCTTTAACTGAATAAATACAATATATATTTGTTTAATGCCATACTGTGGAACATTCCAGGAAAAACAGTAACACCTGACCCTATATCAGAAAAGTTACAGTGCACCTCTGAACAAAACCAGTACATTTTGTTGTGGTATTGTTTGGATCCAAGTAATCAAAGTACAAGTATTTGCTAAGGTCTGGGTGTATTGTGTTAAATTCTTTCAAATCACAATATTATGTACTGCTGTATTATTTGAGAACCAATTTTATAAAGATTTTTTGTTGCAGAAAAATGTGTGAAAATTCTTTAAAACCAGTCTTATGACTTTCAAAAAAACTTGCATGTTTGAAGCCAAATACATATTATTTTCAGTGTACCATATTTCCTGCACTATATGGCACTCTGGATTATAAGGCGCACTGTCATTAAATGGTCTATTTTCAAACTTTTTTCACAAATAAACTGCACCAGACTATAAGGCGCATTAAACCAAACACAACAGTTAGATAAGTCAGTCGCTAAATTGTTACAATATTCACAATAAGTCATAATAGTTGAAACAGTTGGGTGATCCCACACGCCCACATCCCTCTCGTCATTATCCGAGTCAGTGTGGTTACTGTTCCCTGGCAGTTCAGTGATGATTCTGGTCTTGGTGAAAGCTCGGACCACAGTTGATACTGATCCTTAGCCCGGGCGTCCACGATCCGTTGGCAGATCGTGGCTTAAGTCGCTCGGCGCTGTCTCTCTGTCTTGGTGAATGTGTGTTCTCCTTCTCTCATCCACTGCTCCCACACAGCTCGCACTTTCACTTTAGAACAGCCTTGAGTTTAAAGTGGGTGTTGTGAGCGTGTCACTTCACAGGTGCATCTTGATATTAAAAGGACACACAGTATGTATTACTCCTGATGCTCCTGACTACGGGAGCCGTAATGCTGCAAGTGGAGCGGCTTTGTAGTTTACTAAAGTTGTACTAAGACACTCCAATAAATTCATATATAAGGCGCTCTGGATTAAGTGCGCCCTATAGTGCAGAAAATGCGGTACCTGCAGCCCTTCCCCAACAAGAAAGTCAAATGATAAACTTCACCAAAATTGTCAAAGTAAGGAAAATTAGGCAAAATTTTCAGTAAAAATATAAAAAGTAATTATGTTAAAAACTCGTTATCTGCACTTTAAGTCTAGATAAAAGAGTGTGTGCAGGTACTGTGTGTTCCACTGACATAATAGTGGCGTGGGCGCGGGTGCTGGTCACCATGTGCACAAACAGCTCTCCGTGGACGGGCGGCAGGTCGTCGTAGTACTTGGCCTCTCCTGTGGCCTGCTCCACTCCGCTGCAGTGCATGCTGGGACGCCCCACCGGGTCCAAGGAGGGCTGAGACTGGGACACGAGCTGCGGATGGGAAATTACAGATTGTAAATCCGAATATTTATGGATAAACCGAACAATTAACGGAGTGAATACATAAACTATTTATCAAACGTTTTTTTTGGTTTTCTTACAACTATTATTATTCCAACAAATATTACTCAAATATAAAGTAATAAGTGATGGTAGACCCACATCTTTGGAGTCCTACAGTCCTACAGTGTAATATGTTACTTCTCAAAATATTACAAACGATAATACTGATGAGCATTTTTGTGGATCGTGAACTGTATTGCAAAGATAAAACTAATGAAATCCTCTAGATCATTAGTATTGATTAACAGATTAAAGAATTATTCTACTTTCTGCAGAACAAATGCTACTTTCTCATGCCTTTTCTTAGCCGAGCCTGACCTGGAATGACTGCGTCCCCTGTGGCACGTCGTTCTTGAAGGGGGTGAGGGCGCTCAGGTACTCTGCGGGGAGCCTGGCATCTGAAACCCCCTTTCACACAAAACAAAAAGAGTAGTTACAATCCAAACAGCATCATGACCACACTAACTTCTTCACAGCAGTAGTGGTCTCCTCACCCTCTTCCTCATCTCCTCTGTGACGTACATGTAGAACTTGTAGAAGAAGCTGAGGACCAGGGTTTTGCGGTACTCGGCCTTTCCTCCGGGGATGGACGCAGGGACCCGGATCTCTTCCGTCAGAGAGGAGCAGGCCTTAGAGAGAAGCTCCTCCCCCCATGGCCTGGAACAAACATAAATGTTATTTAAAATAATCTCTCAAGAGTTTAGGTAAGGTAAGGTAAGGAAGTTTTTGTTCATTGTAAACTGCAATATTGATCTAGAAACAGGTCCAAGGTCTTCCTGTTAAAAACTACACAACTGAGAAGTCCCGGAGCAGAGATAGCCTTAAACTTAGACTTGACGACTTCAACAAACTTTATTGATCCACAACAGAAATGATTTGGACACAGGAGCTCACACATCAAAATATAATATGATAACAAAGAGGAAAAATATAAATGGTGATAATAAATTCTAAATAAGTAGCAAAAAACAGCAAGACACACATCAAACAAAACATAATCGCTGTACATATGGTTGTAGGGAGTATTATCTGTTCCATAACGGTGAGTCGTTGTACAGTTGTAGGGAGTATTATCTGTTACATAAGGGTGAGTTGTTGTACAGTTGTAGGGAGTATTATCTGTTACATAAGGGTGAGTTGTTGTACAGTTGTAGGGAGTATTATCTGTTACATAAGGGTGAGTTGTTGTACAGTTGTAGGGAGTATTATCTCTTATAATGGTTAGTTGTTGTACAGTTGTAGGGAGTATTATCTGTTCCATAAGGGTGAGTTGTTGTACAGTTGTAGGGAGTATTATCTGTTCCATAATGGTGAGTTGTTGTGCAATTGTAGGGAGTATTATCTGTTATAAGGGTGAGTTGTTGTACAGTTGTAGGGAGTATTATCTGTTCCATAAGCATTCAGACTGGTAGTTGTAGATGGAAGTGTCGTCCTTACCACCCGACGAGCTGCTGACAGGTGAGGGCAGGTGTGACCAGTGTGGGCCCCACTCCTCCGTAGAAGATCCGGAGGGACTGGATGGTGTTGGAGCCTCTGTGCAGACTGAGCTTCATCCCAGCGTTCACGAAGGAGAAGGCCAGCTCCCTCCTCTGGGCCTGACGGAACGCTGCTGCAAACTCACACTGACGGGACAGAGGGGAGGAGCTTTCACACTCTACAAGCTTTACTCCTGCGCATTTCATGATCATTCACTTTTATTAAACAGATTTTCACTATTAGTCAAGGGCCCATGTACCATTTGTTCTTTTGAATGTCAATTAAGAATGGAAAAACAATCAAATGGGAAAACAATTTATTTAATTTTTTTGTTTTAGGGTCAAACGAAAAAACAGATTTCGACCTCGATTTCAAATATTTAATTTAAAGTTTATCTCAATCAAAAAACAGTCATTGTGCCTACTTCACCGTGCCTTCAAAAGACAAGCAGTCCCTTTTCTATTATTATCCAATGATTTTTCTACTAAGGATTAATATTTCATTATCATTATCATTACACTGTATGTTGATTGTCTTTAGTTTTTTGAATTATGGTTTTTTTTGTTGTGCACTGTTTCTTTATGACCTGTCACCCTTGGGTGCTTGCCACACCCTATTTAAGATGGCCTCCTGAGCTCTCATTCTGTTCACCTGACAAACGCCTAGTGCCGAAACGTTGCACGGTTTGTCCTAATAAATCTCACAATTTGCAAGTAAGATGGTGATTTTTCTCTATGTTCTTGGGCTGCTCCCTCTCCTCCAACGCACCGTCTCTAGTAACTGATCTGCGAAGTTCTCATTCTTTTATATCGCCTACTTCAATTTTGTAATTTTAATATTTTATTCTCTTCTAGCAGTAGAACTTCCGGGCCATTAAACCAACGAGAATAAAATATTAACACTGAAAAATAAGCACCAAGACTTTTTTTGATTGGTGTTATTTAAAATAAACTTGAAATTAAATATTGGAAATGGAGGTTGAAATCTGTTTGTTTTTTTGGGGGTTTTTTTTGACACAAATGAAATAACAGTTTTCCCATTTTATTGTTTTTCGTTCTTAATTGAAATTCAAAAGAACAAATGGTACACAGACTGTCAAGATTTAGTTCATTTAGTTTTAGTTTACAGTTTACTAGTCAATACTTTGACTTTAGTTTATGTTTAGTCCAGGGGTGTCCAAACTATTTTCATCAAGGGCCACATATCTAAACACAGACGAAGCAGAGGGCCGATCGGGGGCTTGTAGACCGATGTTCAAAACAGTAAATAATTGAAATATGTGCATGTTGAACACATTAGAATGAACCATCAGTCTTTATTCATGCTAAGATCCTTAAAACCACACACTAAATATTAAATATTAGCTTTATTAAGGCAGATTTTCAAAAAAACTTGGAGTACAAAGCTCATGTTTAATTGATAATTTGGGCCAATTCACCTGGAAGCATGAGGGCCATGAAAAATATGTCCGAGGGTCGCATTTGGCCCACGGGCCATAGTTTGGCCTGCTTTAGTGAACATGTCATGCTAATTTAATCATCTAAATCTGTAATAGTTAAATGGAACAGCACTTTTGATTGGATTACACTGGGACATGCTCTTTTTACATTAAGTTTGCTTATGATCTGGTTTGGGGCTCTAAACAATACATTTATTTATTTATTTGTTTATTCATTTATTAGACAGGGAGATTGCAGCTTAAATGTATTCTTCATCTGTAGTCCCTGGGCAGAAGTGACAGAGGTACTTCATAAAATGGCCCATGTAACATTTAAGATACAGTTAAACCAGAACGAACTCCAACAACCATCACCAACAGACGAGCAGCTCAGCACCGCTCCAAATACAAACTTACAAACTGAAATATTTACATTATTACATTATTCGTGCAGACAGCAGGTGACTACAGCCCTGACTCTGTTTTTGACTTGTCATTTAATTTGCAACATACAACATGCACACAGACATTTGACAGAACAATACATTGAGTACAATGCACAACAATACAATACAATGTGTGTGTGTGTGTGTGTGTGTGTGGAGGTGTGTGTGTGTGTCTGTGTGGAGGTGTGTGTGTGTGTGGAGGTGTGTGTGTGTGTGTATGTGTAAGAGTGTATATGTAAGAGTGCGTATGTATGTGCATGAGTTTCAGTGTCAGTAAATATAAATGTGAATAGTATTGCCTAGATTTTTAACAGTGTATTGGAGGGATCAGGTCAAAGTTGAGAATAATGACGACGATGGAGATAATAAGAGCACAGTAACAGTACAGACTTCCACTTACAAGTGGAAGAGGAAGAGGAACCGAGTTATGTTTGTTAATGAGGTCTTTGTATTGGTGTTTAAAGGTTGTATAGAGGATTTTCCAAGGAACGAGAAATCCAGCGACTGTTTGTCCTTTTTCAAATGTTGCGCATGCGTGAAACCACCCCCCTCCCCCACAGCTCCCTATGTAGAAACACCTCCTCCCTCCTCCTCCTTACGCCAGAAACAGGTTTGTTTACAGCCGGTGCGCTGCACATGACTTGTAAACAACTAACTACAGTGTTGGTTAGACAAGACGGAGAAGTGAGGAGCGGGGAGAAGAGCGGAGCGGGGAGCGAGGAGAGGGGAGAGGAGAGAGGAGAGGGGAGAGGTGCGTGGAGATTTAAGGAGCAGGGGGAAGAGCGGAACGGGCAGCAGGGAGAGGAGCAGGAAAGGTTGCAGAGAAGGTTGCGCGGAGATTCCGTGCGAATGAACTAACTACAACACGCAGCAGCAAGCGGACTTTTTCTTTGCCTTGAAAATGACGTTTTCAGACATAGGATATCGCATTCATGTCCTGAAAAACGTTTGTCTAGCTCTTGGAAATAAAGTACGTTTTCATAATAAGCAGAAGTTTCCTGTCCAGGAGTAATTTGGCGACCAGTGCGTCAGTCTTTAGACCCTGCGTCTGCTTCAGTTGCGTCATCGCTGGAATGAATCTTCAAGAATCACCTTAGTTTGGCTTCGCTGCTTTTCCCCTTGTCTTCTTCTTTCAGCAATCTCAAAAACGGACTTTCTTTTGCGACTAACTGCTCCTGGATTCTTGTCTGCCATTGCAACAAACTTTGTGCTAACTGCGAGGAAGATATAGGTCAAAAAAGCCGCTAAGAACTGTTGCGTTGGTGGAGTAAACAGTGTCTGTGCGTCTTGCGTCTGTGGACTGCGTGACAGGCGTACGTAAACCACGTACCGGCGGCGCGCAGGCAAGTCAGTTACGCTAGAAACGTAGGGAGATTGATTGACAGCCTGTCAGCTAACAGATAACGAGGCAGTGTCATTATCTATTGGCAAATGTTTAGCCCCACCATGTCCAGAGTTGATGAATTTTTATTCTCTTTTTTTTGGTCATCATAATTACAAGGCTACTGCATCTATAATGCTATCATTGACAATTTGAAACAAAAAAAATCCTCCATACAACCTTTAAGCATCTTGTTTTTTCCAAAGTGCATTAGTGTATGTGTGCCTGGCTTTGTGAGGTGCATTAAAAACAGTGTGATGCATTGAAAAAAGGACATGAAAAGTGAGATAGGTCCTTGTTTTGACAAATTTTATTTATTTATTTATTATTGTTTTTATTTGTTGATTGATTGATTTAAATTATTTGTCATTATTATTTTACATATACATTTTAATTACATTTTATTATAATTGTAATTCATGTATTTATTTATGCAGTTTATTAATATTCCTCATCCCACCCCCGTCAGCTCCCCAAGAGTCACTTCTTAACATTGAATTTGAAATGTCCCAGGGTGCTACACTCACAGACACAGGTCCCAGGCCCCTGCTGCTTTCACAGGCAACCAGTTCAATAGTGACATTTTTATACAGCGCTTTTCCACCTTCAACGCGCTTTACAACGAGGACACACTCACACCCTCACACACACATTCATACACTAGTGTACACAGACACGGGGTGAAGTGGTTTAAGTGTCTTGCCCAAGGACACAATGACAGCATTCATCTGGAGCTGGAATCACACGGTCAACCTGTGGATCAGTGGATCTGACACTCAACCAATGATGTTCATGTTGAGAGCAAGATTCAAACTGTCAACCTTCAGATCAGTGGACAAACTCTCAACCAACTGAACTACTGTCATCCTACACTTAACTGCAGTTAAGCAGTTTAAGATTTTATTTTATTTTTTGAGATTTTAACACTTAAATTTGATATTTCATTGTGATCAAATAAGAATCAGATAATAAGAGTAATAAATGTGTATGTCTGTTTCCTCTTTTTGGAGTAATAGAATTTTAAATACAAATTTCAAATTTTAAAAATTGAATTGGTTATTTGCTGTTGGTGACCAATCTGAAACGCCCTGTCTGGGATTTAAATGTGGAACTTGTATTTATAATATCCACTCATTCGTTTCATTCATTTATGTTTAGTTTTTATTATTCAGTCTGTGTTTTTTGTCATGGTTTTAGTTGACAAAAGTGCATGTAGTTTTAGTCTTGAGGATTTTAGCTGCAGAATAAGTCAATAAGTACAAAGGTGCTGTGTGGCGTTCCCGTCTTACCGGTTTGGAGTACGGGACATGGAGCGACAGCAGCACTTCGTCTGGTCTTAGGATGGTCTTTCCAAAAGCAGGGAACAGTTTGTCATCCAGAGGAACCGTCCTGGTACCTCCTGTAGGTGAAGACACATGGTAAAGAGGTTAGATCCACTCTCACGGTGACTCGCTGTATGGATGTGCAGGGCTGGACCTTTGCAGCAGAGGTCCAGGGTGCAGTCCAAAGCAGCCAGAACACTGCACAGGTCGTACTTGGGGTTGGCACTCACAATATTCCCTCCAATGGTCTGTGACAGCATCAAATACAGACGGATTATCACAAGTATTAAGTATGTTACTATCATGAAGAATGTTCCGCAGTATAACAACTTTCCTATTCAGCATTCATTTCATCACAATTGTTTTCAATGCTCAAAAATACCCTGAAAAACATGAATGAACGTGGTCACCTCTCCACAGATCTGACATCTAATTTGCCGTGATGGTGTTACCTGCTTGTCTCTGTGGAAATAGATACATTTAATCCAAGACTCTCTGGAACATTCTAGCCAAAGCAATAACATCTCCATGGACAAGCTTTTACAACAAAATGACGTGAGTATTTCTATATGAAGTAGAGCTTAACAAATATCCAGTTAGGTGGATGTACTCACTGCCATGTTCCGGATCTGCTTCCCGGCCACACACTGGAGCGTCTGCAGCAGAGCCCTGTACCCCGCGTTCTCCTCCTCCTCTGCCCGCTGCGCTGCCCTCTCCAGCTCCCCCTTCAGACAGCTCAGACTGCTGCCCGCCCCGATGCTCAGGCCTGGGGTAAGAGCACGGGGTCAGAGGGGACGGGGGGTCTGGGACAGGAGACGGGGGGTAGGCAGAGCATAACTCACCGTTCTTGGACCACTGCACTCGGGACAGTTCAGACACTCTCCCTGCGTAGATGAGCAGAGGACTGGGCTGCTCTTTCACCAGGAGCTTTGGACCTGGAACAAGCAGAAAATAAGTGAATTTTAACAACAGAAAACAATGTCTTATAGATGGAGGTAGAACTGCGTCAAAAAATATTTATACAAATAAAAAAATGATATACATAAATATATATACATTTATAAATATCCAGATACAAAATAGAAATACAAATAAACACATTTGCATAAATAAATGTGTATTTGTGAATATATTTTTGAGATTTTAAAATAAATATGCTTGACTTTGTATGTGGAGTCTGCATTTGTGGATCCCTTTTTTGCTTTTCTCTTGATGATGTAATTTTGAGAATTTTTCATTTTCATTTAAGAAATGTAAGGCAAATATGTATGTGTACTTATATCTGAGGTGGAGCGTCAGAGCCTGCCAGTCCTTCTCTGCTGGCCTAAAAACATCTCTGAATCACAGACTGATGTTAATTATATATATATTAAATAATTCCAAATGTTCTGTCTGCTTCTTTTCAGAGCTTTTCTGATGCTTGTGCTGCTTCCAAACATGTATTTTCATATTAAAGCATTTGATCAATCACATTTCACTAGTCACTTTTGCTAGGCAGAGTCAAAGTCAAAAAAGTCTGAGGCCTTCACAATCTGTTCTGCAGGAACTCGAACACAAAATAAATATCGATGAAACTGTTGCTTCAATCAATCACATCTTGAGTTGGTGTCACCAGGACCTTAAGCAGCAAACGACGTCACCGGATTCAGAGCCGTGATTGGACAGAATCAGCCAAAACCAGCCAAAACCGCAAACTGAATCTGTAGCAGAACCAGGACTACACCAGGTCTAAACCAGATCTAAACCAGGTCTAATCTTGGACTTGAGAGAGTGAGAGAGGACTCTCAAAACAATGGAGCAGGGTGTCCACAAAGTGCGATCGGGCGACAGCTACACTGAGCCCCATGCGGCCCAGTGCAGCGCATAACCCCATGTAGTCCCATGTGGCGCGGGGCCCCGGCCCTGGTGCAGTCCTTTACACAGGTACACCTTCGGCCCATCCCGACAGACAGTCCTGGTTTAGTTCTGGTTTAGTCCTAATTTAGTCCTGGTTTAGTCCTGGTTTAGCATCCCAGCGCTCCTCACTTCTCTGTGCACAGAATCTCCACGGCTCTTTATTCTGTGTTTCTGTAAAATAAGATTATTTTATAACCATAAAATAGTTACTGAGGAGTGGACTGTTTCAGCATGACTGAAGGTAATGTCATTTTCTCATCACAAACACACCTGGAGTTGTTTTGTTTCACACATGTTTAACACACAAACTCTGCACATTCAGGCTGAGTTCTTCTCTCAAGCAGAAAACACTTGTGATGTCATGTGGGAATACAGGAAGTGCTCCACTGTGTTTTAAACTCCATACAGCTTCACTAGAATCACCTGGATCATTTCAGCCCTGAAATTGCCAAACTATAGATGCCTGTTCACTTGAAAACTACCACTTCATGACATCACAAGGTGGAACAGAGCATTTTGATCTTTGGGAATGCAGACAGACCAATAATGCAAGTAATATAACTACTGAAATACTGAAGTTTCAGACATTTCCTGTCATTTACACACTCGCCTGCATATAACCATACGGGTCAGTAAGACGTATCCCACTCACTAACATTCATTTAGCATCATCATTTATTTGATCACATGGTGATAAAGTGCACTGATAACATGGCTAGCAAACGCTGCACCTTCATATTGACCCTAGATCCATGTGTAACTGCACACACAACATTTTCTGCACTCAGGCTGCGCACATCCACAGTGTTGCCAAACCATAGACCTTATACATGAATTAACAATGTTCCAAACAAAGAATCCGTCCATATATTAACCACATCCTTCTATAAGCTTCCAGGTTCAAAGTGTGAGAAAAAAGTAGCATCTTATAGTCCGGAATATATTTGTATTTGTATTTGTATTTATATTATTTACTCATGTGAAATGTTTGTGAAGTCCATGAAGTACATGATTAAGTACATGACTGAAGGAAATAAATTACTCCTATTATATGGCTTTAATTTCAGGTAGTGGAGTACAATCTTGTGTCCGTTTCCACACTCGTACCTATAGTGGTGTTTCCGAGGACCAGGGGGGCCTCTGGGTGCTTGGATTTGAGTTCCAGGAGCTGTGGCAGGTCCGACGGAGCTAAAAGAGTGACCTGGTCTCCTCTGAAGCACAGGACGTCTCCAGTGCCCTGCTTAGCTTTGATCTACAGCACATGAGGCATTTAGAGTTAGTCCTACATAACTCAATCTGGATTAACCTGAACAACAACTTACTTCATAATTAACAAACAGTTTAGTAAGAATTATTTAGGTTACTACTTAATTAAGGACTGTTAGATGGAATTAGGGTATTAAGTAAGTATTTACTAAGCCTGAATCATTCTTAATTCAAGTCTTTGTTTTCTTTATTGCTTTATTAACGCTAATTAAAGAGCAGTTATGAAGTGTTACTCAAAATTCTGATTGGGTTAGTAACATATTTGGTCCCGCTAACTACAAATATTAGGTACAAATTGTGTTAAAACAAAGTAGTCAGCTATGCTACTTTTTGTATTTTTCTTTCTTTTAAAAAATATATTTTGTTAATAATATTTGTAGTGATATGTGATTTAAACAAACCATGAGCTCTGGGGGAAAGATGAGATCCTGAGTGGGGTCCAAAGGTAAGAAACTGTCCTGGAGGAAAAGCTCTTCTGAAATCTGAAACAAATATCATAATAGGTCCTGTTTTACTACCATCCAGTTTCAGTGCAGTAATGAATACAAGGTTCAAGTGTAAGTTTGGGCTCACTGCTGGAGGACTGCACAGTTTTGTTCTGATAATTATATTCAGCAGTGATATAAATGTAAAATACGCACATCACTTTCCCTGGAGTCGTTGTGTCCATTTTCCCTGCAGCACTTCCCTCTCCCTGTTCCATTTGGACAGCATCCAGACTGTGGACAATGTTCACAGAAGATGTGAGAAGATCATGAGGTTTGTTGTGAACTCTGTGGCTCATACCTGAGTGTCGCAGAACGTCTTGAACCCGTCGATGATCGGTCTGTAACCAGTGCAGCGACACAGATTTCCTGTGTGACAAACAATATTACACACGATCTGATCATTTTATGTATTAATTACATTTATTTTACCCTACTCCATATTTTGTTTGATTCATAAACTACGTTTTTTCCTACAGTCACAAGTAACTGTAACGTGATTGGACAATAGTGTAATCCCTCAGCGTAGTCTGATAGGCGCACACACTATACACACGTACAGTACATGAGGAGTACACGGATGAGGGCTGTCGCAGTAACCGCGATACTGCAATACCGCGGTATGACACCGCCCGAGGGTTCAGGTCACCGCGATAACCGCATTTTGTGTTTTAATGAGGCCCCACGCACACGCCCCGCAGAAATGTACTACTCTACTACGAACCAATTCATGTTTACGTGGCTCTGAACGAATGGGTTCAAACACTGGACTCGAATCTACGTCACTGCGGGGGGCGCCTTGCGAACACGCGCTTTTGTTTGCGTAATGTGTTAAAGTCACCCTTCGTTTTACTATTTACACTGAAGTGCAGAGTTTAGGACCTGCTTGACACAACACACTCATTAGATATACCGCATAGAGCGGCTTTTGAGTGGAGTTTGGGACTAAAGCACCTGGACCATAACGCGAAGAGCACCTGACGCAGCGTGTACGTGCTCTGACGCAGCGTGTACGTGCTCTGACGCAGCGTGTACGTGCTCTGACGCAGCGTGTACGTGCTCTGACGCAGCGTGTACGTGCTCTGACGCAGCGTGTACGTGCTCTGACGCAGCGTGTACTTCCAGGTGAGGAGCTCTGTTTTTGCACCGTGTTCGCGTGTGATTCGTGACCTGCACCGCACACCGCGGTGCACAGCCGCCTTAAGTTCCCGCAACAGGCCAATGTTGCCCCCTTGTAGACATGCAAGCACATACACCATCTCACCAGCCAGAGCCTCCCTGATGTCCTCCATGCTGGGCTGGGGCTTGTTCCTCAGCAGAGTGTACATGGACATGACCATCCCAGGAGTACAGAAACCACACTGAGAGCCATGTGCCTTGGCTATCCTCTCCTGCCGGTACACACAGTACACACAGTACAGTATAAACACATAAACACTATGTATGTATGTATGTATGTATGTATATATGTGTGTATATATATATATATATATATATATATATATATATATATACACACACATACACTGTGATCATAGACACATGTGCAGTATATGAACAGGAGCAGATCTGTACACACCTGGACTGGGTGAAGTTTGGTTTTGGTGCTACCGATGCCTTCCACAGTCACCACAGCTGCTCCGTGAAGAGTGACTATGGGCTGGAGACAAGCTGTCACCGTGTAATGTCTGCTCTGGTCAATGAGACTAAACTTATGTTTATAATTTATGTGGACATAAATCTTCTTTAAAGGTCTTATATTACACAAAATTGACTCTGGGACCTTGAAATCATGTTATTATGTTGTTACCTCCTCCAAAACAGATCTTCTGCTTGTTTCATTCACACGTGTTTGAGTACCTCATTATTAGTCTGTCTATGTCTCCAAAGGTCAAAAAGCTCGTTTGCACCTTGTGATGTCATGAAGTTAACAAACTACCTTTTACCATTTGTTGAGTAGAAATTGGCAATTAAAGGGCTGAAATCCTCCAAATGATTCTAGTGAAGGTTTACAGAGTTTAAAAACACAGTGGAGCACTTTCTGTATCACCACATGACATCACAAGGTTGAGCAAGTCCAGGTTTGTTTTTTGAAAAGGAAACAACATTATAATATAGATAGAAGAGTGGGCATTCTCTCTCACTCTCTCTTCAGTTGTGGGTTTGATTCCCTCTCTGTGTGCACGTACAGGAGGATACATCACTGTGTCCTGGCTGCAGTCGTATCTGGACACCATGACGGTGCAGGCCCCGCAGCCCCCTCCTCCACAGGCAGACTTGGTCCCCGTCAGACCCACTATCAGCAAGTCAAACACACAGTATTTACATGCATTCTTTCATTTCACAACTTACTGTCATTTATGTAAAATAAACTTGATTTATTTGTAGCTTAGAAGTTTTTCCCTTGACAGTTTTCTGACAGACCTTTCCTCCGGAGGTAACTGAGCAGGACTTCCTCTGGATCTGCATTTTTCTCCACAATCTGTAAATAATGAATAAAATATTTTGAATGGAACCGTGACACAGGCAGAACATCACAACAGACATACCAGAGCATGTGTCACATGACTCTGTGGGACCAATCAGAATCCAGTAGAATCAATGCTACTGCAACTAGTACTGCTACAACAACAGTACTAGTTGTAGACTAGTACTGAAAGAACTACTACGACTACTACAGCTAGTACTGCAACAACTACTACAACAACTAGTACTGCTACAACAACAAACAACTACTACGACTACTACAGCTAGTACTGCAACAACTACTACAGCTAGTACTGCAACAATTACTACAACATCTAGTACTGCAACAACTACTACAACAACTAGTACTGCAACAACAACAACTACTACTACTACTACTACTGTTGAAACTATTATTACAACTACAGCTATTAAAATTACTACTATGACTACTACTAAAACTATTAATACTACTTATATTATTAAAACTACTACTACTATTAAAACTATTATTACTAATACTATTACTAAAACTATAATTACTACAACTACTACTACTACTACCGTACTTTGCGCACTATAGGGCGCAGTTTAAAGTCTTTAATTTCACCAAAAAACGAGTGCGCTCCTTATAATCCAGAGCACCTTATATATGAATTTACTGTTGTGTCTTAGTACGACTTTAGTAAACCAGGGAACAGTAACCACACTGACTTGGATAATGACGAGAGGGATGTGGGCGTGTGGACACCGGAATCACCCAGCTGTTTCAACTATTATGACTTATTGTGAATATTGTAACAATTTAGCGTCTCTGACAGTATTTTTTTTGTGCGTTACAAAGTTGAGAGTTATTGTAAACTCGTTAAATAAAGTTTGACGGACTTATCTAATTGTTGTGTTTCGTTTAATGCGCTTTATAGTCCGGTGCAGTTTATATGTGAAAAAAGTTCAAAAATAGACCATTTAATGGCACCTTATAATCCAGGATAATGCGGGAAATACGGTACTAAAACTATTATTACTAATGCTGCTATTATTACGACTACTACTAAAACTATTAATGCTACTTATACTATTAAAACTGCTATTACACTACGACTACTAGGCTACAACTAAAAACTATTACTACAGCAACTACTACTGCTTATACTATTAAAACTACTACTACTACTAGTCTGAGACAGGAGAAGTGTATTTCCATCAGTCCTGGACCTGGCGAACTTGAATACAACACAGCGTGTTATAACTGAGTGTTCAAGCCTGACTCTGCTTCCACACAAGGAGGTTTAAACTAAGACAGACACTTTGGAGCTGGCTGAGATAAAATGAGAAGCACAGTACACACTTCTGTGAGACAAGATGACCGAGGAAACTCATGATGTTGAAGAAGGACAAATTCTGTAATAGTTGGATGACGCCAGAACTACCCACAGAGAAATGTTAACAATGAACTGGAAGTGTCCTCACTAACTATGCCGACCATGTGAAACTCCACAACAATTACTACTACTACTACTACTACTACCACTACCACTACCACTACTAGTACTTTCATTACTATGAAAACAACATTACCAGTGTTAATTATATGGCATGACAAACTACATGCTGAATTCCCCTGGTAGAATATTTATCAGAGCCTGAAAGTTAAATTGATAAATCGTGTTTGGAGTACTTAGGAAGTAGAATTGTTGCTTGTTGATTAATGGTCGTGAGTTTTGCAACTAGTGAACTAAAAACTCGCTCTAATCCATAAAGGTCTATGTCTCACTTTAACCCTGACTTTTGATTGCACTGATTGACTTGTCTGCAGGGTACTATTATGTCTTAGTCTGTCTTAACGTATGCGTTTACATCATTCATATATCCTCTGCCTAGCCTGATTTATCAGTCGGTTTCACTTTGTAGAAACCGTCTGATTACCTTTAGGATTTGTTGGCTCGACGGTAGGCAGGTATTCACTAGCTAGGACCACGCCAACAACGACATAGTGCGAAGAAGTTTATTGATAATGTATGAAGCGGGGCAGAGATGGCTGGGTTGGGTGGGGGCTCCGTCTCAATCTACAATTGGCCCAGCCGGAACGGGACCCCCCTTGTAGGGGTCTTATGACTGAAAGACAAAATAGGGGATGGGAGGGTGGGGTTGAGTTAGCCGAGACAAAATGAGATGATGGGTAAGGCTGCTACATATAGGCTTCAGGGAAATTAGAGGCGTGGTCGAGGTGAGTTGTGGTTCGCTGGTTAGAGGAGAGGGCGGCTGAGGCATGGTCCTGCTCCTGAATCTCACTTAATCATATTAACTACATCTTTTTTTATTTAACCAATCGCTGTTATTTGGTTGTGAAGGGCAATAACGTCTTTCCCCTTGATGAAATTCCCCAAATATTCTCTTTGTTCCGGCTTTAAATCCTCGATCTCGTGAATCCTTGCCAATACAGAATGTCTGACTCTTCGCTGATTGACTGGTGCCCGAACTTGCACTGGGGTTTTTGCAAACCGTCTACTGTGTATTCTGATTCCTGACCTAGTAGCTGGAAAGAAATGAAATTGAGTGGAGGCACTAGGTGGCACCAGCCTGGTTACTCTACACCTCCTGTGGGATAGAAAGGCACTGGATGCATTGTTTTGGTTACAGCTTAGGGACAAATAACATGGTAGTTCTGTGACTTTGCACACAATTGCTTTAAAAAAATTGCACACCTGGATTCAAGACATGTCATGTTTTTATTGAGTATTATAGTATAGAAATTCCACAACAAGTCCCATAAAGTATCCTTTATTTTGATCCTATCTGAGGTATGAGAGATCAGCTGACTCCCACCTGAACTGTACCGACCCCCACTCCCAACAATCCATTAGACATGCTCTGGGCACTCCACTCATGTATGATGCTCTTTGCAACTGGAACAAATACAAATGGTTAAAGATTGGAACTAAATGTACTCAAAATACAACCCAAATAAAATAACACTTTTGTTTATTAATGAAAAAAAATAAAAAATAAAAATCATAAATTTGTCTGTTAATACATAAAATAATCCAAGTGCCTTTTTCTCTCTCTCTTTTTTTCTTTTACTTGATTTGGGTTTTATTTTTCAGACTTGGGCTGTGTTTTGTGTTCCGTTATTGCATTAAGATTTTCCTAATTCAGTTTATTCAAGTTATTCAGCCTCGTGATGTTGAGAATGTTCCACTGCACGGCTCTCTCCTCAGCTTTTCTAGACTGTACTTACAAAAACTTGCAAAAATACATTTCTAGTGCAGTAGTAGCAGTACAAGTTTTGGAGTAGCAGTTATTACTTTGACTGTATTACAACAATTAATCTCAAATGCAGTGATTCATCAAGTAAAACATTTTAGATATGAAATAATAATAAAATGCTGACCTTTTTCCCATTGATGTAGAAGAGGAGTTCATTGGGGGCAGCCATGATCCCACTTTAGTCCACAAACCTAAAGGATCTGGAGTGAATTCTCAGCATCAAGCCACGAGGAAGGAGATAATCCTCCTGCCCACTGCTGATTGGACGAGACGACACAACTGGGCAGGAGCTCGTGATGAGCACAGTGGTACTGTTACATGAGTATACAGTAGTACTGTTACATGTGTATACAATAGTACTATTACATGAGTATACAGTAGTACTTTTACATGAGTATACAGTAGTACTGTTACATGAGTACACAGTAGTACTCTTTCGTGAGTATACAAGATTACTGTTACCTTAGTATACAATAGTATTGTTACATGAGTATACAGTGGTACTGTTACATGAGTACACAATGGTACTGTTACGTGAGTATACAGTGGTACTCTTACGTGAGTACACAGTAAAATTCTTTCATGAGTATACAAGATCACTGTTACCTTAGTATACAATAGAACTGTTACATGAGTATACAGTAGTACTGTTACATGAGTATACAGTAGTACTGTTACCTTAGTATACAATAGTACTGTTACATGAGTATACAGTGGTACTGTTACATGAATACACAATGGTACTGTTACGTGAGTATTCAGTGGTACTGTTACGTGAGTACACAGTGGTACTGTTACGTGAGTACACAGTAATACTGTTTCGTGAGTACACAGTGGTACTGTTACGTGAGTATACAGTAGTACTGTTACGTGAGTACACAGTAGTACTCTTTTGTGAGTATACAAGATTACTGTTACCTTAGTATACAATAGTACTGTTACATGAGTATACAGTGGTACTGTTACGTAAGTACACAGTAGTACTCTTTCGTGAGTATACAAGATTACTGTTACCTTAGTATACAATAGTACTGTTACATGAGTATACAGTGGTACTGTTACATGAGTACACAATGGTACTGTTACATGAGTACACAATGGTACTGTTACGTGAGTATGCAATGGTACTGTTACATGAGTACACAATGGTACTGTTACGTGACTACACAGTAGTACTGTTACGTGACTACACAGTGGTACTGTTACGTGAGTATACAGTAGTACTGTTACATGAGTATACAGTGGTACTGTTACGTGAGTACACAGTGGTGCTCTTATGTGACTACACAGTGGTACTATTACGTGAGTACACAGTAGTATTCTTTCATGAGTATACAAGATTACTGTTACCTTAGTATACAATAGAACTGTTACATGAGTATACAGTAGTACTGTTACATGAGTATACAGTAGTACTGTTACGTGAGTATTCAGTGGTACTGTTACGTGAGTACACAGTGGTACTGTTATGTGAGTACACAGTAGTACTGTTACGTGAGTACACAGTGGTACTGTTACGTGAGTATACAGTAGTACTCTTTCGTGAGTATACAAGATTACTGTTACCTTAGTATACAATAGTGCTGTTACATGAGTACACAATGGTACTGTTACGTGAGTATGCAGTGGTACTGTTATGTGAGTACACAATGGTACGGTTACGTGACTACACACTAGTACTGTTACGTGAGTACACAGTGGTACTGTTACGTGAGTACACAATGGTACTGTTACGTGACTACACAGTAGTACTGTTACGTGAGTACACAGTGGTACTGTTACATGAGTATACAATGGTACTGTTACGTGAGTACACAGTAGCACTGTTACGTGAGTACACAGTAGCACTGTTACGTGAGTACACAGTGGTACTGTAACGTGAGTACACAGTGGTACTGTTACGTGAGTACACAGTGGTACTGTTACGTGAGTACACAGTGGTACTGTTACATGAGTACACAGTAGTACTCTTTCGTGAGTATACAAGATTACTGTTACCTTAGTATACAATAGTACTGTTACATGAGTATACAGTGGTACTGTTACGTGCGTATACAGTGGTACTGTTACGTGAGTACACAGTGGTGCTGTTACGTGAGTATTCAGTGGTACTGTTACGTGAGTACACAGTGGTACTGTTACGTGAGTACACAGTAATACTGTTTCGTGAGTACACAGTGGTACTGTTACGTGAGTATACAGTAGTACTGTTATGTGAGTACACAGTAGTACTCTTTTGTGAGTATACAAGATTACTGTTACCTTAGTATACAATAGTACTGTTACATGAGTATACAGCGGTACTGTTACATGAGTACACAATGGTACTGTTACATGAGTACACAATGGTACTGTTACGTGAGTATGCAATGGTACTGTTACATGAGTACACAATGGTACTGTTACGTGACTACACAGTAGTACTGTTACGTGAGTACACAGTGGTACTGTTACATGAGTATACAATGGTACTGTTACGTGAGTACACAGTAGCACTGTTACGTGAGTACACAGTAGCACTGTTACGTGAGTACACAGTGGTACTGTTACGTGAGTACACAGTGGTACTGTTACGTGAGTATACAGTAGTACTGTTACATGAGTACACAGTAGTACTCTTTCGTGAGTATACAAGATTACTGTTACCTTAGTATACAATAGTACTGTTACATGAGTATACAGCGGTACTGTTACATGAGTACACAGTGGTACTGTTACGTGAGTACACAGTGGTGCTGTTACGTGAGTACACAGTGGTGCTGTTACGTGAGTACACAGTGGTGCTGTTACGTGAGTACACAGTGGTGCTGTTACGTGAGTACACAGTGGTACTGTTATGTGAGTATACATTTTAAATTGCATAAACCCGGTGTGCACTGTAGTGAATAAATAGAGTAATGTTCAACCTGACCTTGGATTAGATTTAGACTTCAACTTGTCCACAAGGGAAATGATTTGGACACAGGAGCTCACACATCAGAATATTCATTTCGCAGGCCAAAAATTTTGGCAGTTCTTGTTGAAATAACCTCAAGTTTTCACAGAATGTATAGAAACAGATCAAGTTATTATATTTAGTGTTAATTCATGTTTATTTTTGTTCTGTTTTCAGGTTGAGACGTTCACTCCCAAAGAGAAGTCACTTTGCGTTTTGGAATCTGCTGCACACACCAAGACTGTGCAGCTTCAATACAACATTTGGAAAAACACCAAAAGGCAAACAAATTTGGATTTGATACCAAAAATATAAAAAGAAAGCTGCTTATGAAAGGCTAAAGGATCTGGAAGACCATCATCACCATCAGAAGAGAAGGTCGGGCAAGTTCATGAAAAACTCTTGCGAGGCCTCAAGAAGTCCGTAAGGAGAACAAGTTTGGAAACCCAGATTCCCTGAATAACGCTTTGGTGTACCAGACCCTTTGATGTTGTACAGTTGTAGGGAGCATTATCTGCTATGTGAGGGTGAGTTGTTGTACAGTTGTAGGGAGTATTATATGCTACATAAGGGTGAGTTGTTGTACAGTTGTAGGGAGTATTATCATATGAATGTAGTCCTGTATCTCTCAGTGTTTGAGCAGAGCAGTATGATTTGTGCAGATGTGTGTGGCCTTCCTAATACAAGTTTTCTCCATCATTTTATCACATTTTCTGAAACTTGTCATAAATGTGGCAAATCCAGATATTTGTGTTGGTTTGAGAGTGAGGCACATGCTGTAAATATGTGTCAAATATTACACAATCATTTAGGGAACAAAAAATGGTTCCCTAATTGGTATGTGAATTGTATCAAGTTTGGTCACTAAATGAAAACCTGGCTGGTGTTCACTTCAGAAGTCTTTTACTTTACAATCTGAGTTTACAGAACCTTTTTTCTCAGTCGTTTTAACACATTTTTGGAGCTCAGGTGGTTAAATCATTTGAGAGATTTCAGTTCGCAGTTGTCAGGCTCTTTTTCCAAATTCTGACACAGCTCTCATTCACAAACATACACGATCAGTTTAAGTCAAGTTGTTTTTTTTAATACTACAGGTCTGTTCTCAGGCGCTAAAGGATGTTGGCCCAAACTCTGTTACTTTCAGAACAGAAACTGAAACATGCATCTGTGTAACGTGAACCCCCGTGTCAGACTGCACCAAACCACTGATTCTCTTCAGGTCAATGAGAACAGGAACTAAGGCTTCTGAATGAGAGCATGGAAAAACACAGTTCAGAAGTGTTTGCGGTAAAATTTGCTTTGGTGGCTGATTTATCTGTAACTGTATTTTGCTGAGATTTCACTTTGTTTAGGAAAACCATGACCCCTGAGCTGTTTAACTGTTTGTCAATTTTCAATAGAGAAGTGAAAACTAAATATAATAAACTGTAAAAGGACCCGCACCATACAATTTTACTGTATCATGTACAACTCTAATACTACTAGTACCACCAATACTTTTACTTCAACTACTAAAAATACATACCTCTACTATTACAAATACTATTACCAGTACATTACAATGTCACAAAGCCAGAAGTACAGTTGTTACTTACTGGCATGATAACCAATAAGAAGGTAGAAAGACAGGTTTCAACAGCCAATGAAACGTCCTATTTCTGATTATATCAATATTTGAAAATAGCTCAACCTTAAGTAAATGTTCCTGTGATACAGTTTTAGATCCTGGCCCACCAGTCGGGAGCCTCTGTCTTGGCTTCAACTCTGGGTCAGGGTGAGGAAGTATTTGAATGTGATTTTAGGATAAGGATACGCAGTAGCAATGACAGTAATGCCATTCATCTGACTGTTGTGAACAGAATTCATTCAAACACAATTGGCAGTTGATTCTGAGAAGAACTGGAGATTAATAGGCCACTGTTTGTACATTAGAACTATAATATGCTAAGATACAGAGGTCACCAAACTCTTGAGTGGAGACCACATTATGGCTCCTGACTGTGATGGGGGCCGGGGTGGGGTCGTCGTATAACAGAACTGTATGACTCTGACGACACAGATGATATTCTTTGAAAACCACCACACTTTCTTTACAGATTAGACAAACTGCACCCTCCTCACACTGAACACAAAAGAATCAGTTGTTCATTGTTCATTGTGAAAACTTGGCACTCATACTTTAAGTTTTGTACTTTGACATGAGCCATTTTGCAGAGCTTAACTGTACTACAGTA